AGGTCTCCAGGAGATGCCGCAGATCTTCTGGTCTAGTTAAACCTTTCAGGTGACTGCAGTCCTGGGTGACATCTTGACTGCAACTTCATGAGAAATCATCAGACCACCCAACTAGGACATTCCTGAATTCCTGCCTCACAGAAGTGCTGAAATAATAAATGCTCATTGTTGAAATAATAATAAATGCTCACTGTCACTATGCTGTTTAAGCCACTAAGTTTTGGTGTAGTTTATTATATAGTGTGACATGTAACTAACACAATCCATAAAAGTTACATACAAACAGGTATACCATACCAATGTAAAAGGAGACTGGAAAAACCTAGCGCCTTCGCTAGAATAGCGATAAAAACTATGTGATACAATACAACAGTTTTAGCATGACAAACTCAAAAGACATAAAATAAAATGAATTTTAAAAATTGAGTTAAAATACTAAAAAAGGTATAAATTAAAAAGATTTGAGTATATACATGAAAGAAGGAAAAGTAGGTATTCAAACTGTTATTTGTACACCTATGGTCATAGCAGTATTATTCATCATAGACAAAAGGTGGAAACAACCTACATGTCCATCAACAAATTAATAAAGACAAGTGGCACATACATGCAACAGGGTATCATTCAGCTTTTAAAGGAAATTCTGAAACATGCTATAAAGCAATAAACCTTGAAGACATTATGATAGGTGAAATAAGCATGTTGCAAAAAGAATTATTAAGATTCTTCTATGAAGTTCCTAGAATAGTCAAATTCATAGAAATACAGAGTGGTAGGTGCTAGGGGTCTAGAAAAAGGGGAAACTGGGGGTTATTGTTCTGAGTTTCAATTGGGGAAGACTGAAAAATACTGGAGATGGATGGTGGTTATGGTTGCATAACAACATAAATGTATTCAATGCTATAGAACTGTATGCTTCAAAATGGTTATATGATAAATTTTGTGTTCTACTTTATTACCATAAAAATTTAAAATCTCAATAATGGTAGAAAAGAAAAAACATACAAAATGATACAAATAGTTCATGGAATTCATGTATATTTAAGAGCCCATTTAGGGGCTAAGGGTATAGCTTGATGCAATGCTGGACTGTATCAAGGACTGGCAAGGTTCTGGGTTTCAACATGGAGGGGAGGGAGAGGGAGGAGCAGGAGGATGGGGAGAGAAAAGGGGAGAGGAAGAGGGAAGAGGAGAGGGACAAACAGAGCGGGGAGAGAGAGAAGAGGAAGAAGGAGAGAGAAAGGAAGGACATTTCAATGAGTGTCCACTACAGGGGAATGAAACAAGGGTATGGAAAAAACAGGCAAGGCTTTCCTTGTATGTAAGATTAATTCACAAAACTTTAAAAATTTTGCGGCACAAAATTTTGGAGATCGAACCCAGTGCCTTTCTTTGCACCGAGCAGCATCCCTTAACCCTTTTAAAATATTATGAGACAGGATCTCACTAAGTTGTTAAACTGCCCACTCTCGGCTTGAACTTGCAATACTCCTACCTCAGCCTCCAGAGTTGGGATTAGAGCTGTGTGCCATCATGTATAGCTAAAACTACATTTTTTTTTTTTGTACTGGGGATCAAACTCGGGACCTTTGGAACCACTAAGCTAAATCCCCAGCGCTTAGCTAAAACTACTTTTGAGAACATATCCCATATAACATGAAATGTTACCTGTACCAAAACAAGAATGGATAACTTTCCTTGTAACAGTTACATTACAGACATTACACATATATCACTGACTTTTAGAAATAAAAATTCTGCCTTGCAAGTGAAAGGTCCCAAGTTTGATCCCTGGTGTAAAAAAAAAAAAAGTCTAGAAATCATTTAAACTTGTACATTCAAGATGATTAGTATGTCAAAAGTAATTACGTTTTTTCAAAATTATCTGATTCCATGCACATTTTATGAAAAGGCTCATTTGATTCTTTGGCACCTTTCATAAGTCTGGCATATAATAATTCTGGCACTCTAAACTGTGTAGTGAATATATTTCTTCAAGTATTACTCATCTTTTCTAAATCATAATGCTCTGTCTCTATTTTTCTTTTTGGTGATGGTACTTGAGATTGAACCCAGGGCCTTTCCACTAACCTACATTCCTACTCCTTTTTATTATTTTTGAGACATGGTTTCACTAAGTGGCTAGGATGCCCAGGCTGGACTCAAATTTGTGAGCCTCCTGCCTCAGTCTCCCAGAGTGCTGGGAATACAGGCATGAGACACGACATCGTACCTGTACCCTATCTTAAGTACTAAGTACACAGGTTTTGCTTGGACTCTAATTCAACGTAAGGGAGGAGATCAGAATTGAAGATAACATGGAAACATGTAAAAGACTGGTTAAATTTTGTGAAATTAGTAAAAGTACAAAATAACAGTGGTAAAATAAAAATCTATAATAATTAATGCAAATAAAAATATCAATAGTTTCGATTTGGTCCAAAAACATATTTATCAGTATTTATTTTTTGAATTCCCTACTTGTACAAGTCAGGCTGTATCAATGAACAATGATTAATGTCGAAGACAGTAAAGCCAACAGCTCAGTCATATTTTATACTGTAAAAGGAACGAAATAAATGTACTTTAGTCCTTTATTTCAGAGAAATATTATAATCTAACCTTGTAGAAATGTTCCTATGACTAATAAGGCGATTTTTAAAAAGCATGTTTATGAATATCATTATGAAACTGCTGCCTATTTGTTGAGCTATCAATTATACAGTAAAACATTTTTATATTGTGATTAAAAACCCACTGTCAGCCAGGCGTGGTGGTGCATGCCTGTAATCCCAGCACTTGGGAGGGTGAGGCAGGAGGATTGCTGCGAGTTCGAGACCAGCCTGGGCTACACAGTAAGATCCAGGTCAGTTTCAACTACATAGCGAGACCCTGTCTCAAAAAAACAAAACAAAACAAAACAAACAAACAAAAAACCCCTCAAAAACCCCACTATCATTTGAAATTTTAAAAAACTTGATGAATAATTTGTCAGTGACTTAGTATTTTTCATTTCTGTTATATATTATCTTGTAATGCTATGTGCAAAGAGGCATTATAAAATGGTTTTATAGTATTAAAATTAAAAAGAAAATTTAAGTTCTTTACATCCTTACACAATACATGACCTTGAATAAGTCACGACATACCTGATTAAGAGTAACATTTAAAATGAAAATAATGTTACACTGAGGTGATTCAATGGTAAAATGAGTAAAAATAAGAATGTCACAAGTCTCAAAGACTGCACTAGTTGGGATTCAAATAAATATTAGCTATTAAATTTCATTTAAAATTTCAATGTGACATTTTAAATTCTAGCTACAGCTTCCATCTAATAAAAAAAGGAGACCCTAAATATTACTAACTGTAACGTAATATCTATGATGAAGTAATTTAAAAGCAAATATATTTTAAATATTAAAATCATTTTAATCAACAAAAATGTATATAGTATTATTTATTCAACCCATTTCTTATTGTTTTGAAAAATTATTGAAACAAAATTATAAGTTCTCATAAGACTTTCTATTACACAAACACCATTTAAGAGGCACTGTCACGGATCCCGGAGGGATTTACAAAGCCACTGTCATTCTGGGTTAGGGAGTGAGGAGGTGTGGCAGGCAGGCTACCATAAATAAGCACAAAGATAAGGCATTAAAACTGCACTCAATCTGAAAATATATTTTACATAAGTACAGGAAAAATAAGTTCAGTGAAAAATACTTCATATCAAGAATACATCTTATGAATACTAATTAAAAGGAAACACATTTAAAAGCCATGGTGCTTTCATTTAAAATATTTGCCTGTAGACTTCAATGATATCTAAAGCAAAGAGAAATATAAATTCTTAATATAAATCTTATATATTATACTTATGTATTGCTATAATTTTTCACAAAGTAATTTACATCAGAAAGTGACTTGCTCCTGAATGACCTAATTAAGGTCATAAAAACTACACTGACAATGAAAAAATCCACTGTTTCATACATAATTTATTAAGATTTCCTAAAGGGTTTATGTTAAATCAAAGAATTTGAGCATCTCTTTTGTGATGCTGAATCAAAGCCTCTAATTTCACTGTCAAAACATTCACAGCGTGATATTTTTCCTACTTTAAAAAAACAGAACAATTCTTTCTCCTAAGCAGTCTGCAATTACAAACTATGGCTTCTTGTAAAAGACTTCTCCCCCTAGCATGTGCTGCAAGGTTTCTTACTCCTCTGCAGTTGTCTTTTCAGTCTAAGGGAGAAAAGCACTACTGCAGTCATCGCCAAAAAGCCACTACCACTGCGTTTTGTAACTAACAAAGACACTGGTATCTTTCTGCCACCCTATCCACAGGGAGTTCATTCAGATATTGTGTAAAAGCAGGCTCCTTACTAGTGTCCAGTATTTCACCAAGAACATCACTCTATCTCTGCAGTACCTGCCTTCTCATCTTCTTCCTGCTCCCAGTAGCCCCTTTCCACTAGACCGCACATCAGCTATCAGCGGCAGCTTTGTATCCTCTCTCTTTTGGCTACCACTGCATGTGTCCTTGTGGGCCAGGAAGGAAAAGAAGCCTTTCAATGGGCTAGACTAGAGCTTTTGCTCTTCGTCATGAATATGCTCCATTCTTTGTTGTCTGCTACCCGTTTCCTTAGATACTGTTATTCCACTCTACTCTGTCAACAGGCATTTATAAAAACAAAACCCGCTTCTAGCTTCACAAACAGCTTTCTCACTAGACTCCCCTTACTCTACTCCTCCCCTCTTGATCCTCTTCTGTCAAAATCTCGGGATCAAGCACAGGAAATCCATCTCCTGAGCTGCAGTGGGGGGTGGGGGAGCAGAGGATGGACGACGCCCCTGCCTCCTCCTTTGGCTTGTGGCAGTGGACCCTATGCCAAGGAAAGGCCACTGACTTAAGACTGTCCAAGGGAAAATAATCACCTCCTCCCTCTCCCTCGCAGCAGCAAGCCTGGCCACCGCCGCGGTTCCGCACCTACCCCATTTCCGAGCCCGGCAGCACCTCCATTCCGTCTCCAGTGACACCCAGCGGGCTGCGCCAATACAGCCACATGTTCGTCACGTGTGCCATCATCCAGCCAATCGGCTGCTTCCCGACGGGAAGGGGGAGCGCCCTGGTCCGCATCCAGCGGATTACACAGCTGCTTTACGCTCGGCTTCCCAACCTGCACTCTGCAGCAGGGCACCAGACCTGCCCCTCCACACAGTAGGTCTGGGCTCTAGCCTGGCACCCAACCTCGGAGGTACACGCTCACGGTCCCTAGCCTTGACAACTCGGGAAGCTGATGGTTGCTGACAGGCATGACAGGGTGAGGTGGGGGAGGTCTACAGGGCAGAAAGACTAGCCCGGGCCACCGAGGTGGGAGGGGGAATAATAAATTTCAACTCATCTCACTCATTGCGATTTACATGCTTACAGCAAAGAAATAAAGAATTATAGTAAATGCATTTCAAATAATAGTTTTATATTACAAGCACTAACTTACTAGGTAAATCACTTGAATTACGTTTGAATTTAAAATCAGTTACCAGAAAAGCTATGATGGCAGCTCAGGGTAGTGGATGAGACCAGAATCTTGGAGTTAACACCGGTCCGTGTTAAAATCTTTGTGCTTCTGCTACTATGTAAACTTTAGTCATTTAATCTCTCAGTGCTTCAAAGTCCTCCTCTATAAAATGGAAACTGAAGCACAGAATGAAGGAGTTAATGTTACGCACCGGGAAGCATCTAGAGTAGTCCCTGGCAGTAAGTGGTTTAGGCCCTAGAAATCTAGGATTTAAATGGAGTATTTCAATACAAACTTCACATTTCACTTAAATTTAACCACATGAAGCTTTTACTAATTTTATGAAGTTTGATTTAATTTCTAGCCTAAATATGAAAAACAAGTTTAATTCTTTCTTTAAAATTTAAAAAGATACTAAGCTTCAGGTAAAATAAAGCATATTTACCATAACCTTTTCATTTAAAAAAATATGAAAGCTACTAAATAGCACATTCAAGGCAATTACACTTTATTAAATAATACACATTAGAAAAAGAATGACAAAAATATTCACAGAAGTTATTCTCTGGATGGCAGGATATGGGGTGATTTTTGCTTTTCCTCTGTGGCTCTGGATTTTCATTAGTCTCTGTGTACTAATGCCTGATATATATCTAATATGCCTACATATTTGTTGAATGAACAAATCACTGATTTTCACACCAACCACATACAACTTTATTCATAATTGTATATTAAAAGTTTAAATATACTCAGAAAAATTTCTCTTCATATTTGAAATAAAGGAAATGTGAATCCATTTTATTCAATCTTAAATATCTTTTATGAAGATGACAGTTTTAAAAAGGCTTTCAAGATTCTGATAATGAAACTGCATGACTCACTGCACATCTGTGACAAATTTTCTCATAAGGCCTAGCACTAGAAAGAAAAGGAATCTTGCAAAATAAAGAATGTATTTTAAAAGCTCCCTCAAAAAACTTTTTAGTACCCTAGGAAACAATTAAATCTATGTGTTACTCCTGACTCACACTCTGAGTTGACTAGTTCAGTATTTAGTAAACCAGTTAGCAGTCAAGATCTAATTTTTTACTGCATGTTTTTACTACATGTAGTGCATCAATCTGTGATTCAACTGATAACATTTTATCTTAAAAAACCTTTTGTGATGCAAAAGATTGAATGCGGGGTATGGCAAATGCTACACAAGTGCTCTATCACTGAGTACATCCCCTGTCTCATCAAGTAAAGAAATTTTAAATAAAGCTCTGCTGGGCATGGAATGCATGCCTGTAATCCCTGCACCTGAGAGGCTGAGGCAGGAGGATTGCCACAAGTTTGAGACCAGTCTGGGCTACACAGTGAGAGCAGGGCCAGTCTGAACAAAGAAGTTAGAGCCTGCCTCAAAAAAAAAAAAAAAAAAA